CCCCAAAATGGAAGGGCATACCTGAGGTGCGACTCAAAAAGTGCATAATAAAGTTAGAGTAGCCACTGACAAGTTAAACTCCTTAGAAACAGACCTTAATGCAAAACAGGCATAGCTCAATTTTTTTGATAAAGCTTCGATATGTATGTCCCATTTCAGAGAATTGTCCACAACAAGCCCTAAGAATTTTTTTGAAGAAGGTTTTTGTAGAATCAACGGGTAAAACCGTTTTTTGTACTGTAAGGAATTTTGATGGGTCGTAGAACGATGATAGCCGAACGTGGTTCGTGGTTCCCGACGGGAAAGATTATTTAAGAGACGGGGGGGAGCGTGAAAACAGGGATCTTCCTGCTGAGACTGAGTGCCGGTGAATTTTAACGAGTAAACCTCGTGAGTTTAAGTCGATTCTGATCCGTTTTTTTTTATCAACGATGGTGTAAAAAATTAAATCTTTGAGTTTAAATAAGTAAAAGTACCATATCTCCGTTTTTGGTAGTTATTAAGTATAAATCGTGGTTCCAGAGATTTGATTTTAAATAAGTATAAACCGTATTTCTGATTTCTGAGTATAAATAGTTAAATACCGAGCGTTTAAGTTTTTTTTAATACCTGACCGTGAATAATTAGTGTGACCGAATTCCGGGCTGCTGTAGGCGATCCCGCAACCAGACCGATTCGTTTAGGTCCGACGCCCATTTTCTTCATACAACCAGACCGAATCGTTTTGTTACGACGCCGATTTTCCTCAGAAAAAAAGGTAATCGCATTCTTTCTATTTTTTTAACCGCCAGATACCCCATTAGAATTCTAGTAATGGCAAATTTTAGATTCAGCACAGCATTCTTTACAGATGTGAATTTAATTAAAGTTTCTATTTTATTTTACCATTATAATATTTCTTTTCATATTTGAATTTGAGTACGTTGAACCTGAATATATTGTATTCATATTTAATTTATTTAAATAAACTTCGTTATGGGATATATTCGACTTTAACTGGCTTTCACCCCATTTCCCTGGATTCTCCATTGTAGAAAAGCTACCCGTACTGGCAGTAGTGTCTCAAACACTTTAAATTTTGAGGGTGGCGCCCGAGAAGCAAAAGACCGATTGCTCGGCGTTAGTAATGGTTCTCTAGAAAAAAAGACTGTTACAACTGGAAATAGTAGAAAAATATATATATTTAGGACAACTAATACACAGCTCGGGATCTCTACTACCAGAAATCAACAGAAGAATTAAGTTAGCATAGATTCCTTAACAAAATAAAACACTAAATCACCACAATACACCAAAACACTTTTACTTTTACACTGGACGCGCGTTTCGCTAACCATGTTAGCATCATCAGCAGATGATTATAAACTAAAATACAATCCACAGTTGGAGCGTTTATATACTCGCTCAGTGGGCACAGAGTGGGCGTGACAAGATCTATCCAACCGAGTCAGAACCCACCGAGCGTAACAGTTAGATTTCCGCCACTAGAGTAGTAGGAACAAAGAACTTGAAGGAATTGGACCGTTGTCTCTGTTCATACTATCTTTACATTTATTAATTCTGATGCTTTCATATGCATCTAATTGCCTGTAATTTGAGACTTGTTTAAGTAATTTTAAGTTATTAAGATCTATACAATGTTCTTTATCAACAATATGTTCGGCAACGCAAGATTTATCAGGTCTACCATATCTTATCTGAGCTAAATGTTCTTTAAATCTAGTTAATATTGATCTTCTAGTTTTCCCAACATATTTCTCATTACAATCTTTACAAGAAATTTTATAAATACCCGACCTTTCCAGTGGAGGTGTTTTATCCTTTGGATTATCTAATAATTGTTGTAATTTATTATTAGCACTATACACAAGTTTATAATTGACATTCTTAAAAATTCCTTTTAGACCACGGGATAACTCTCTATCAAACGGTATCGAAAAATATTTAGACGTATCTTTCTCCACTTGAAAAGTCGAATTTTCAGAAATCATTAACCTATACCTATGTTTTCTAATTAATTTATCAACTAGTGAAGGAGAATATCCATTACACTCAGCTACATTCCTAATGTAATCTCTTTCCATTTCATATCTTAATGCTAGATAAGATATGGTAGACCTGATAAATCTTGCGTTGCCGAACATATTGTTGATAACCAAACATATTACCAAAAATAATTACCAAACCAAACCAAACAGCGCCCTCTAGCTACCACGAAAAAAATTATGGAAACAAAATTTATACTGGAGGTCATTAAGGAAGAACAGCTCTTTTAAACGAGCCCTAGTTTGTTTAAATCGCGTAACCTAAACCAGAGTTATCCTTATTTTAATAAAAGCAAGTTCAACCTTCCCCCACCACTTTACTTTATGTGATGGAGCAAAATACTCTATATCAAAAAAATTACAAATTTATCGATGATTACAATAGTAATATTTAAAATACCTGTTCACCTGCATATTTTTGAAAAAAACCCTGTTTTCTGATTGGCTATTAGAGAAACGCCCCCTAGCGGGCATTTTCGAACTTAAAAATAATTTTCAGCGATTTCTCTTGGTCGATTTACTTATTAGAATTTTTTGCCCAAAGTTATACGATAAGTAGTTTCTGAGATACAGCCGGCGTCCATTCTTGGTTGGCCACCCGGTACAAACTATACATTATATTTAAGATTTACTTTCCACAAGTATATACATTTAGAAACAAGCTGAATAATAACAAACCCGTAAGCTTAATAATATGTGGCAACACCGTAGTTAAGGGGCACATCTAAAAGCCTATTAAAAGTTGGCCCTTTCGTTAAGCACTCCGACACCCTCGTTTCATAAATTACCCGTTAACTTTGCTCTAAGTTTCGGATGAGAAGTTAGGGTGGGAAGTGTGTAAAAGTGATATATGAGAGTGATATGAGGTTCCAGCGAAATGACGGATGCTTTTAATTTTAATGCCATAATTGATAAAAATTCTCTTGCTCTTGTTCTTTAACTTTATTCGTTCATTTTAAAGAGACATGTCAAAAACAACTCACCGGCACGAAAAACGGGCACCTTAAAATTTTCATGTATTTTAAAGTATAATATATTTATAAACAAAATACGAGTAGCGGAAAAAGGGGCCAAAAAACCCTACATATATGCTTATTCTCAGCATTAAGTTCATCAGACCGAAGGGAACAGCCATTCGACGACCGGTTTCGGAGATTTTTCTCCATCGTCAGGCCGACTTTGCTGTAACCCTCGATCCGACCAACGAAATGAATTTTGGCCCCTTTTTCCGCTACTCGTATTTTGTTTATTTATATATACCATACCTAAGCCTTCTTAGCTCCATCTACGGTAACGTGGATGAAGCAAGCATGTTTTCCAGTAGGCCGCTGGTTTTAATTTTACCGGTACGATCTGTGATTGTCACAGCTGCCGCTAGATGGCGTAGAGCGTCTTGAGAATATCAAACGTGAAATGAAATAATTCTATTCAGAGTGTCGTCATTTTCTATCAAATAAAGCAAAAATATATCGAGGCTGCCATTTTAAAATCAAAAGTTCATTCAATCAAAAAAACGTCAAACAATCCTAATTTATGTCATATACTAACATACAAAACCTCGTTTTTTTAATGAAAAAATAAAAAAGTTATAAGGGTAAGTCTCACTTTTGAGTAACACCCGGTATAAAAGATATGCAATAAAGAATACATAATACTGAAACACTACATAATACTGAAATCAGAGAGAATGAGAATAATAAAATAATTAAAATGCGTCCAATCGTTCTTAATCATTTTTTTAATATTTTTTGTTATCTATTTTATTAGATAATCTTCTAATTTTAGCTAAATCTAATTATTAGTTAAGTCGGATAAAACTAAATCAAGGAGAAACAAAAAATAAATCCTTCGTTAGCATGAACGACGTCCTAATTATCTTTTGATAAAAATAAAACCATTTTTTCTTTCGCCCGCAATAAGTTTCAGGATTTTTTCCAAATTATTATCCTTAATTAAAAAGTTTCCAATTATAATTTCGAGCTGCAAAAACTCCGAATTTCCAGACGTCTCATCTAACCGAAGTTTTTAATAAACTTTTAAGTTTCGAAATGATTTTGGCGAATGTGCAGTTGGAGCGCAAGTGGCTGCACTCAAGGTAACTTCATTAAATGTTCCCCGGCGCGGGATATCAAAATATTGTTAATATAATAGTGAAACTTTGCTGCTTAAACTATTTGTTAATTAAGAAACTTTAGTTTTTCACTAAACGTCTCGCAATTTTCGAAACTAAAATGCGCATAGGGTTGTTAAAAAAGAAATAAAGAAATGGGTATCAGGTACAAAAAGATTGTGAAATATAAATTAAAATAATTAAAAATTCTACGTTCTTGCAACTTACAGCTAAATATATAATGTATGTAGATGTTCCTCTTCAAGTTCGAGACATTCCAACAAATCTAATAAACTTTTAACGACTGACGCCTTGTTTCCTTGTTGAAAAAAGAAATAAATAGTTAGGGGACTAACTATATATTATTATTATAATTGTAATATCTTACTAGATAATTTAAAAAATAAAGAACTGTGAATCAGATACAAAAATATTGTGAAATATAAATTACAATAATTAAAAATTATTCAAGTCTTTATTCTTGCCACTTACAGCTAAATATATTAAAAATAAACGTTAAAACTGTAAGTTCCTCTTCAAGTTCGAGACATTTCAACAAATCTAATAAACTTTTAACGACTGACGTCTTGTTTTCTTGTTGAAAAAAGAAATAAATAGTTAAGCGACTAACAGCAAATCTAATTCGGAAACTTGAAAACTTTCTTTCCCTGCTTATTTCGTTCTTTTTCTATCGGATTTCTACCCTCCAGATAAGTTAAATTTCCATTTGATTCGCTTTTAATATGAATTTTAAAGCCGGCTATTAAGATAGCGAGATCAATATGTTCGAGTTTCCTCAAAGTTATTAAAAATAGAAATTGGATCGTACGGAACATAGTTTTAGGAGAGGCTTTTAAAAGTTTTGATGGCCCTCTAAACGTTTTATGATGTCGGAAAGGATCAGTTTTTGGTTTGTGACCGGTTCTTTAGGAATCGGTTGTCTGATATTTTATAGCTTTAATTTTGAAGGGAATATTTCCTAAAAATAGAGATAATATGAATTATTAAATGTTCAGTATTATAATTGTAATATCTTACTAGATAATTTAAAAAATAAAGAAATGTGAATCAGATACAAAATTATTGTGAAATATAAATTAAAATAATTAAAAATTTCAAGTCTCTAATCCTTCAACTTCCAGAGCTGTATGCAATATAAATAATCATGCAAACTATAAGTTCCTCTTTAAGTTCGAGACTTTCCAACAAATCTAATAAACTTTTAACGACTGACGTCTTGTTTCCTTGTTGCAAAAAGAAATAAATAGTTAGGGGACTAACAGCAAATCTAATTCCAAAACTTGAAAACTTTCTTTCCCTGCTCATTTCGTTCTTTTTCTATCGGTTTTCTACCCTCCAGATAAGTTAAATTCCCATTTGATTCGCTTTTAATATGAATTTTAAAGCCGGCTATTAAGATAGCGGAATCAATATGTTCGAGTTTCCGCAAAGTTATTAAAAATAGAAATTGGATCTTACGGAACATAGTTTTAGGAGAAGCTTTTAAAAGTTTTGATGGCCCTCTAAACGTTTTATGATGTCGGAAAGGATGAGTTTTTGGTTTGTGACCGGTTCTTTAGGAATCTATGGTCTTATATTTTATAGCGTTAATTTTAAAGGGAATATTTCGTAGAAAAAGAGATAATATGAGTTATTAAATATTTAATATTATAATTATAATATGTTACTAGACAATAAAAAGAATAAATAAATGCGAATCAGATACAAAAAGATTGTGGAATATATTTTAAAATAATTAAAAATTCTACAAGTCTCTATTCTTGCAACTTACAACTAAATATGTAATATAAATAAACGTTCAAACTGTGAGTTCCTCTTCAAGTTCAAAACTTTCCAACAAATCTAATAAACTTTTAACGATTGACGTCTTGTTTTCTTGTTGAAAAAAGAAATAAATAGTTAGGCGACTAACAGCAAATCTAATTCGGAAACTTGAAAACTTTCTTTCCCTGCTCATTTCGTTCTTTTTCTATCGGTTTTCTATCCTCCAGATAAGTTAAATTCCATTTGATTCGCTTTTAATATGAATTTTAAAGCCGGCTATTAAGATAGCGAGATCAATATGTTCGAGTTTCCGCCCAGTTATTAAAAATAGAAATTGGATCGTACGGAACATAGTTTTAAGAGAGGCTTTTAAAAGTTTTGATGGCCCTCTAAACGTTTTATGATGTCGGAAAGGATGAGTTTTTGGTTTGTATCCGGTTTTTTAGGAATCTATTGCCTGGTATTTTAAAACGTTAATTTTGAAGGGAATATTTCCTAAAAAAACGAATATGAGTTCTCAAATATTTAATATTATAATTATAATATTTTACTAGATAACTTAAAAAAATAAAGAAATGTGTATCAGATACAAAATAATTGTGAAATGCAAATGAGAATAATTAAAAATTTTACAAGTCTTTATTCTTGCAACTTACAGCTAAATATATAATATAAATAAACGTTTAAACTGTAAGTTCCTCTTCAAGTTCGAGACTTTCCAACAAATCTAATAAACTTTTAACGACTGACGTCTTGTTTTCTTGTTGAAAAAAGAAATAAATAGTTAGGGGACTAACAGCAAATCTAATTCGAAAACTTGAAAACTTTCTTTCCCTGCTCATTTCGTTCTTTTTCTATCGGTTTTGTACCCTTCAGATAAGTTAAATTCCCATTTGATTCGCTTTTAATATGAATTTTAAAGTCGGCTATTAAGATAGCGAGATCAATATGTTCGAGTTTCCGCAAAGTTATTAAAAATAGAAATTGGATCTTACGGAACATAGTTTTAGGAGAAGCTTTTAAAAGTTTTGATGGCCCTCTAAACGTTTTATGATGTCGGAAAGGATGAGTTTTTGGTTTGTGACCGGTTCTTTAGAAATCTATAGTCTTATATTTTATAGCGTTAATTTTAAAGGGAATATTTCCTAGAGAAACCGGATAATATGAGTCATTAAATATTTAATATTATAATTATAATATATCACAAATAAAGAAAGGTGTCTCACGTACAAAAAGATTATGAACATCGAAATTTCTTACATTGCTATTTTTGTCTCTTCAAGTTAGAAAGTTACATCCAGTTTCTGCTGATATCCAATCAATATACGCTGCAACTTTAGTATATACAGAGTGATTGAAAGTAATCTTGCATGATGTTAACAGAGCTAAATGACTGGTAATTCCAACTTGAATAATAGTTCCATTTTTAATTAGGACTAGAGCTCCTCCACTGTCTCCCTAAAAATAAATAAACAAAACTTAAAATATATTATTATAAAAAGTTAATTTTACACAAAATTCGATTAAATCATTGTTGCTTTTGTATAAAATTTTAGCTACCGCATTACATTTTCTTTGATCGCATCTTTACTTTGAAATGTCTTCGATGACATTATTCAATTCGCAAATTTCTATAAACTAATAATATTTTATCAGCAAAAATCTATACTAACTCACTGATTAATCACGATCCTACTCAAACCACTCAACGTAAGAAGCTCAATTTTGGCCAAACAGGTTGATTCTAAAGTGTAGAGGTTCGATAAGAAGGGATTTTTCGAAATTCCAGTTCCAAGGGGGTGAAACCACCCCTCAAATATTACAATATTTTTTATTTTAGTTTCCGAAAAAACGCTTAAACACGTATATTTTATTTTGTTTTTTACATATTTTAAGATTTTTTAAAAATGTATACAGGATGTTTCGAAAAATCTGGTTATTGATTAATCACGATCCTGCTTAAAGCGCTTGACGTAAAAAGCTGATTTTTGGAAAACGGATTGACTTTAGGATGTAGAGGTTCGATAAGAAAGGATTTTTCAAAATTCCAGTTCTAAGGGGGTGAAACCACCCCTCAAATATTAGAATATTTTTTATTTTAGTTTCCGAAAAAACGCTTAAACACGTATATTTTATTTTGTTTTTTACATATTTTAAGATTTTTTAAAAATGTATACAGGATGTTTCGAAAAATCTGGTTATTGATTAATCACGATCCTGCTTAAAGCGCTTGACGTAAAAAGCTGATTTTTGGAAAACGGATTGACTTTAGGATGTAGAGGTTCGATAAGAAAGGATTTTTCAAAATTCCAGTTCTAATGGGGTGAAACCACCCCTCAAATATTACAATATTTTTTATTTTAGTTTCCGAAAAAACGCTTAAACACGTATATTTTATTTTGTTTTTTACATATTTTAAGATTTTTTTAAAAATGTATACAGGATGTTTCGAAAAATCTGGTTATTGATTAATCACGATCCTGCTTAAAGCGCTTGACGTAAAAAGCTGATTTTTGGAAAACGGATTGACTTTAGGATGTAGAGGTTCGATAAGAAAGGATTTTTCAAAATTCCAATTCTAAGGGGGTGAAACCACCTCTCAAATATTAGAATATTTTGTATTTAAAAACCGGTTAGTTTTTCGGAAAACAACTCTTAAGCACGTATATTTTATTTTGTTGTTTTACATATTTTAAGATTTTTTAAAAATTTATACAGTATTTTAAAAATTTATACAGTTTCATAAAATATGACCATTGGGTAATCATGAATCTGCTTAAACTGCTTGACGTTTAAAGCTGATTTTTGGCAAACGGATCGACTGTATGGGGTGTAGAGGTTCGATAAGGATAGGTTTCTCGAATCTCAAATTCCAAGAGGATAAAAACGCCCCTCAAATATTACAATATTTGTTATTTAAAAAACGGTTAGTCTTTCGGGAAGACGCTTGGACACGCATAACTTATTTTGTTTTTTTTTTACATATTTTGAAATTTTTTAAAAAATTATACAGGGTGTTCCAGAAAGTTGGGTAATTGATTAACCACGATTCTGCTTAAACTGCTTGACGTAAAAAGCTTATTTTTGGCAAACGGATTTTTCGAAAGTCAAATTCCAACGAAATGAAACTACCCCTCAAATATTACTTAATATTAATTAAGTTCTATAATAATATCGCCATATTGTTTTTTCTCATGCTGACATAAATGTGAGAAAATTTTATCCAGTTTGTATGTTAATGGAAATTCTTGCTTTGTTTTATCATCACCATTACAAATGATTAATTCGACGCGAACGAAGTCGCGGGTACACGCTAGTCTCTAATATTCTCTTTAATTTAAACTAAACATTGCCAAAAACTATCCAATTTATATCCAAGATCATATTACGAACCTGCTAGTAATATTTACGACAAAATCCACGACCTAATATCCCCGAAGTTACCTTATAGGTTAGGTATTATATGTTAAATTTTATCGACTCCTAGCCCGGCATATCTATTTCATTCCGAAGGAACGAGAATTCAGTGCACCTATCAACCTCTCACAAACCTATCTGGCACTGGATATTAAAATCCGCGGTATATGTGTGCACGTGCAGGCTGGGATATGCGACGGAATACATATTTCCGGGGAAATAATCTATTTCTGATATATTTTCAGGAGAATGGAGTGTGGGAGTTTATAAGTTTTTCTAAGAATGTAATTATTAATCAATTTATAAAAAATTGCTTGTGCTCTAAAATAGTTAATTTTGTTTACTTTTCACATTTCTCTACCGTTTTAGACAAAAATAAAAATATATAAAAATTAGTAGTGGGAACTATCGAATGAAACATTCGATAGTTGCAATTCATTCGAATAATTCGATAGCTAGTAAGAAAACATTCGTTGAAAACTATTCGAATAGAACTTATCGAATAGATGCGTCATCTGCCTTGAAATAATGTATTCTGGTAATTCGGCAGCAAAAACCATCCATTTATAAAATTCATTCATTTATTCGTCAGGATCGAATATAATAAAATATTAACTGAATTTCAGTTGTCGCCCGGCGACGTAAGTTTTCTTTCCGAGAAACCCGACAGCGGTCGGTGGCAATGCTATGAAAGAAGCCGGCATCTTTGATTTTTTGCGGAGTCCGATAAAGATAAGGACACATTATTTTTTTATTGAGGTGCTAGTATTTACACAGAAAATACATTATGAAGAGCGCTGTTGCCATATATTGGTATTAGTTGATATTAGCAAGGAATATTATTGTTTGGCTTTAGTTAGTTAGGGATAGTATGTCTATATATTTTGCATTTTTTTATTAATATTCTGTTACACTGCAATAATACTTGTTATTTTGGATGTAGGAAAATTATTTTTAATGTTTTTAAGCAAAGACTGGTTTAATAAATAATAATAACAGTAATAATTTGTTATACCTATTAACAACAAAATTTAAAATCATTTAATATAAACATTTTTTTTAGGTAGTAGCAAAATATAAACAACAAATTAGATGTCAAAATTATTTATATTAGATCCTATTTAAAAATAATATAGTCTCTACATTTTTTTTACTAACTAATTTGTTATATTAACAACAAATTTTAAAATCATGAAATATAAACATTTATCAATTTTCTAGGCATGCAGTGTATTGGAAGGAAAATATAAATAAAAAATTAGAAATCAAAATTATTTATATTAGGTGCTTTATATTACTATTTAAAAATAATATTTACTTTTACTGGCATTTACTTTAAAATATAAATGAAATATTTCTTCGCAAAAAACTAATGTAAGAGAATTAGCATAAACAAAATACAAACATCGCTAACTTTTTTTTTTAAATTGGCACGTGTAAAACCTTCAATTTAATTTTCTCACCCCATAGTTTGAGTTCGATAACCACATTTACTCAACCACATTACTTAAATATGATTATTAAGTTCAACTAATTCATATTATTAAAACATCTAAAATACAAATATGTATTTTTAAAATTAATTGTAAGTTCATCTCATCTCTCTTAAAAATTGCGACTTCTCAAAATTTCCCATTAAAAAATAAACCATATACCATATAAAATTAAATAATTGAAAGATCGGGCTACGGAAAATCACACAAATTTTCGGAAAAATTTTGACCACCTGCACACGCACACAATCGTCAATTAAAAAAAAACTACTATTTTAGTATTTTAAATATTTTAATAAACGCAAAAATAGCACAGTATTTATACGGTGAAGTTATAAAAATTTGGAAGAACTAATAATGCACTGACGCATACAAAAATCAAACGAATACTAAATTTCGTTTATCCAAAGCATTCGATAGTCGTGGCTCAACGATAACCATTTAGTCGCACGGCGAGGTTGTCACGTATGCTTTAGTATACAAATGAATGAATGATTTTATTCAAATAAAACCATTCGATAGTTGAAATCATTCATTCAGTAACCATTCGATAGTCTAATTCATTCGATAGATCCCATCGCTAATAAAAATACGATTGAACTTTTTCTAAATGATTTAAAATGAAAATTATTTGCAATCTCGCATTTCTACGGGAAAGTCCCGAGCTCGTAAGTCGTAGCGTAGTAAAAACTCGCTGGTCTTCAATTTTAACCAATTTAAAAAGTGTATACAATACTAGGCTCAGTTTACAAAGAGTTCCAGTTAGTCAAGAAGCAGAGAAAAATTTGCTATTAAACCCATTCATTATGCTGCAGAATTACTAAATCCAAAATCACAAGGTTCTGAACTTGATGAAACCCAAATTCTTTCTGCCATAGAATGCTTAATATATCAAAAAATAAACTCAATATAAAGGAGCAAGAAATAATAGATGAAATATCAGATTACCGTTGTAGAAGTGGCAAGTTATTTGGAAATAACTTCATATGGAAAAGTAGTTTTAATAACCCAGTCTCCTGGTGGAAAGGACTGTGTTCTTCATCTTCATTATCACAAGTAGCTTCACGAATGTTGATGATGCCAGCATCTTCGACTGTCACGGAACGCAGTTTTAGCGTTTATAGTCATATTCATTCAAAAAAGAGAAACAGGCTTACTTATGATAGAGCCGCTAAGTACTCTATGTTTCCCACAATGAAAACTTGCTGAAGAAAATAGGATACGGCAATAGATTAATTTTTATTTCCGATACTATTGAAGATTTTGAGGAAGTAGACTGGCAAGAAGATGTTTTTGAGTGTGATGCTGATGACAGCGATAAAGATATGCCTCTTGCTCGACTAGTGTGCCAAAAATATTTTTTTTTGTACAAATTTAACTTTAATTTATTTTTTAATTTGAAGAATAACTCTTTATTTGTGTTTATGTATAAGCATTTTGTGTTTTGCGATGTTTTGTTATGATTTTTATAAATAAATATTTCAGTTTTTCTTATTTTTTAAAATATTTCATATATTTCCAATATTTCCATATATTTCCAATGTTTCAGGAAATATTTCCGAAAATATATTTCTGGAAATTTTATATCACTATGAACTGTACATAAATAACTATTATCAATAATATATTTTCCTCAAAGAATTAATAATAAAAAAGTTCCAGCAGTTTTCCTCAAACACGATCCAGGGACACACTGTATATAAATGATCTTGAAACAGCTATTAACTAAAAGATCCTTTTGACACATTTCTTTATTACGTTGTTATGTTCTTCTTTTTTTTTCTGTCGCGTCTAAGCTAAAACTCTATTGCTTAATTAAAGTGTGGGAAAGGAAAGCAGAAAAGCAGCTCGTAATCGTGTGGAAATTGAACAGAAAAACGAATATAAGGGAGAAAAAGCATCACGCGATGCTTGCCAGACCTATTTACGCAATAAAAACCAATATAGCCCCACATTCCGCGTTGATATTTTATTAAACACAACTGCCTATTGTTTATTCAGAGGAGGAGGCGTTTAAATGGGACGAGATTCCCGATTTCTGTTATTTGGGTTGCTTGTATGTGTGTACGCATCTCTTATATTATTCATAAAAGTTTATAAGCTTAAGGAAAATGTAGTTTTAAGTAGACAATTTTGCAAAATATTGTTTTGGCAATTTATATATATTGTATATGTTGGCAATTGTTTTTGGTCACTTCCTGTTTTACCGGAAAAGACAATAAATTTTGATTTTTAAATGACACCCTCGATATTTTTTACTTTATTCGATAGAAGATGACACTCTGAATAGAATGACATATCGTGTGTCAACTTTTGGCATTTTCACATAAAATTTATTTGAAATTGTAACATGGCGGTTCATACCGAGAATTTGACTCGAAATACCAAGTGTGAGGTACCAAATTATTCTTAAAAAAATGCTTTTCTCAAATATGTTAATGAGCCACCCTTGTTCCATTTGAAAAAAAATTGAGATATGATCAAAAATACGATTTGGGCATCTTTTAACCGGCCAGGACAAGACACGAAAAACATTAGACGATCAAATCTATTTTTTCAAGGCTCCTTGATTAAAAATTATTAGTGTTGTTAACACAGCCACGGTACTCTGGATTAAAATTTAAAATACGATTTTAACCGAAAATGTCAAAAGTTAACACATGATATGTCCTTCTATTCAGAGCGTCATTCTCAAGCGTCATAAAATATACTGAGGGTGCCATTTAAAAATCAGAAGTTGTAGTCATTTCCGGTGAAACAGAAAGTGACCAAAAATAATTGAATACGTCAATCAATCCTAATTTATGTCATATACTAAAATACCAAATCTCGTTTTTTTTTATCTGAAAAAAAAATAACAAAGTTATAGGGCTGAGCCACTTTCGAGGCGCACCCGGTATATATTTTGTTTTAAATTTCAATTTAAGTATTTTCTACCGGGTGTTTCTCAAATTGGCTCGCTGATAAAAAAAATGCGATTTGGTAGGTTCACTATCCTGAAACATTTTTTTACTGGTTTTATCGAAGCCTTGCTGCATATTCTGTGCAAATAATTATTTTACTATAAATATAATTTTCTATAAAATAAATTTCGAAAATTGTATTTTGGGTATTCTATAATAATTTTAAATTATATTAATAAAATAAGTCAAAAATATTACTCACTTTACAGGCTTTGCCCTCTGTAATAGTTGATGTACAGCACAAGGTATTAATAGTGTCGTTTTGGTTTAGAAAACATGTGTCTGGTGTATTTACATGTAGAATAGCTTGTTTCAATCTTGTCGGTTTCTTATAAAAATCTAAAATATTTTTAAGCAAATTATTTTTTAAAAAAATAAATAATATCAATTCAAACTCTACATTAAAGGTTTAAAAAAAATTACACTTACCATTAACAATCCCAAATCCTGTAAGATATACCACGTCATTCATTAAAGATTCCTCCATGTTTGTATGTAATATTACCGGTTTTATTGAATCACCTAAATGCAAAAAAAAATTTTTTAATATAATACATTATATTTTACCTAAATCTGTATTCTCAATACTTGAATCCAATACTTTCAAAAAAATAAATTTTAAAAAATTACGCATATCCAAGAAGGTTGTACTTACAGGTACTTACTATATGTAACTTCTTCTTCAAGTTGGATCAGGCCAATATCATGACGTCTTCCAGAAGAAAAGTACAAAGGATGAATTAAGAGTTTTTTACTGGAAAATATTTCAGCTCCTTTCAAACTGTAGTAGATTGTTCCCAAAGCGATATTTAACATATTTCTATAAAACAAATATAGGTATTTACATAATATCATACATAAAATTCTATATTCTATAACACAAAAAACTCAGGTATGAGGTTTGTGTGATGTAACGCTGATTCCGGTGATCAAAAGCAAAAATGGATTCAAGCATATTGAAAAATACCGAAAAGTATTTAAAGCGTCCATTTTCAAGGTAATTATTACTGTTTTGTGAGTTTAATTTTATTTACTCAAACTCGTAATAATTGTGAAAAAGTGGCATTGAAAACTTAAAAAGCTGTGTGAACTGCAAAAACCATCGTGGGTCGTGGCATTACGTCGGTTTCCAATATTTCATAGGTATTTCATACAAGTCCTTATATAAAATAAAGGTTCTTATATGCAACATATTGTATTTTAGTTAAAAAATTAAAAGAAAATAATAATAAATTTGAATAAATAATATATTTGGCGAGATAATTGCGGAAAAAGCCGAACCGCTCCGAAATTATCCAAAGCTGTGGAGAGCGACCGTTGTAAAAATAGCGCCAAATAGTATTTACCTTATCCTTATAGGCACTTTCCAATCTAAACTTGTTTCTTTTATCTATGCTGGTCAGTTGAGGAAGATGGCGGTGTTCCAAACGTAATTTGTGTAAAAATTATATTTCTGTAATATTTTTTGTATGTTTTCGATATTTTATTAGTTGCCATGCGAAGACGAATTCAAAAAAATCAGAAATAGAGTAATTTCTTGTTTCTTGGAAAGGTTTTTTACAAACCCCAACTAACAAACTAATGCCCTCTTTACACCAAACTACCCGCATCATTAATATCTGGCAACGGTTATTAGACGGAGCCAAACAACCACAGAGTAAATCACATCCGTCCCGCTCCGAACTTATTGTAAAGTTGACTTAATCCCGTTTGGCGCCAAAGTTTAAATCGCTGTTGTTGCAACGTTAATTGGTTTAAAACGAAGCCAGAGGGCGCGGAGGGCAAGAGTCCTGAAGAGGGGCTGTTTAAACTTACTCTGGAAACCGTTTACTGTCCCGTTCCAGACAATGAGCCGCCGTTAGGATCCAGGCGGGGTGTATTAGGCTGCCACCGCAGAATATCACGTGAGTGCCGTTGGGGTGAATGAGGGTGAGAGCTGCGTGGTATGGGAAAACGCCTTTAGGTGGGTGGATGGGTTTGCCATGGCCCTGCAAGATGGAAATGTGACAGAATCATGGATAAAGTGCTTTTAATAAAAAGATTAGGGAAGGAACAATCAAAAATGGCCTACTTAAATTCCGGTTTATCAGTGCCATTCTAATTTTATTCAAAACGTGTAAAAATATGATGTAGGGTAGACTCAAAATAATTTGTTGTTTTATTTTACGTTGTGAACAAATGTTGGTAGTTATTAAAATTGTTATAAAAATATACAGTTCTAATAAAAATAGATAAGTTATAATAATTATTTATTAACACGCTACTAAAGCAGATAAGTCTAAATTTTTTGACATCTAGTCTTTGACAAGTAGTAAATAAAAGCATAAATGCAAGAAAAAATATATAATTAGTTAATTTTAAGTGAATTTCATAAATGATCGGTTTACTACCAGTATGTATATTATATAGTCACTTACTAGCGAAAAGCTATTCCATTATTTCCCTCGATTTTTGACCGACATCTACCGCACGCTACACAACCAACTATTTTACAGTCTGTTTCAATCTTTGAATAAGAAGACTAAGGAAGGAGCATAATGCTATCGATGTATTCATGCATGGTGGGCGGAAAAAGTACTCTAGGGTGGAGATCCTTGACAGTTCTGTTTGACGATTCATTTGACACATTTGAATATGATTTGAAATTTTATGGATTTGTCAATCTTTACGGAGCTTATTTTATGTTATTTATTATTTATTCTACTACTGATAGTTGTATAAAGGTAGTAAATCTAGATGGAAATTGTGGCAGAACTTAAATTAACAGTGACACTATCGCGATTTATCAAAAATGACTCTAAAATAGTTGTTTGTGTAGCGTGCGGTAGATCTCGGCAAAAATCGAGTGAAATAACGGAACAACTTTTCGCTAGTAAGTGACTATATAATATACATACGTGTAGTAAACCGATCATTTATGAAATTCACTTAAATTAACTAATTATATATTTTTTCTTGCATTTTTGCTTTTATATACTACTTGTCAAAGATTAGATGTCAAAGAATCTAGATACGTCAATTTGACTTACCTGCTTCAGTAGCGTATCGGATGTTTATGGTTATAAATAATTATTATAACTTATCTATTTTTATTACAATTTTATATTTTATAAGAATTTTAATAACTACCAACATTTATTCACAACATAAAATAAAAACAAAATTATTGAGTCTACCCCACGTCTACCCTACATCATAGTTTTACATTTTTTAAATAAAATTAGAACGGCACTGATAAACCGGAAATTAAGTCGGCCATATTTGAGGCCTATCGCGGTGGACCTAAGATTTTTGATATGCTCCTTCCTTAGTCTTCTTATTTAAAGGTTTCGATAAATCGCAATAGTGTCACTCTGGTGTCACTGTTAATTTAAGTTCTGCCACTAAATTTCCTTCTAGATTTACTACCTCTAAACAACTACCAGTTGAAGAATAAATAATAAATAACATAAAATAAGCTCAGTAAAGACTAACAAATCCACAAAATTTCAAATCAAATTCAAATGTGTCAAATGAATCGTCAAACAGAACTGTCAAAGATCCCCACCCTAGGGCCCTTTGTCCCTGTTGCATCCTATGCTACTTTATTAATGTTTTATTTTACGCGTATAAAACTATTGGTTGTACGTACAAATATATTTGTTACAGATTAAAAAGTATTTTTACTCGTAAAAAACTATTGGTTACAGTCAAAAACTATTTTTTACACGTAAAAACTATTTTTTACGCGTAAGAAATATATTTTTTAACTTATTACTTCTTCAACATTCCAAACTACAGTTTTTCAAACATGCTCTTCAAATCCTTCAATTTAATAGCTGTTGGTAAGAAGTTTCACTTCAAATATGCACATAGTGTACGCACAATTTTTTTTCAATAAAAACATCCATTCAGAATTTTTGAGAATTCAAAAATAAAAAAATATATAGAGGATATTCTATTTAAAATAATAAATTTAGAAGCTACTAAAAATAAAACTAAGTATACCTAATTTTTATATAAACTTACGTTCACAATAAATCTTCCGTTTCCAGTTGTCCCTTGGCTGTTTTCACAAGTCCACATTACAATAATTATTAAAGCAACAATGTATGAGTTCATTTAAACTTATATTTCTAATAGGTATTATTTTTAAAAATCCCAAGAGCATAAACGTTATTCCTAACGACTTCAGTGTGACAATACAAATTTTTAAATTATTCAAATGCCTGTCTGTCTTCATTGTGAATGAAAGCTAGATTATGATGACTTTTTTAACGGATAATTAAGCTCGGATGGCTTCATTCAAGGATATTCGGAGACAGAATAATAAAATCCTGTTATTAAATTTCAACTATGTAGTTTAATTTTACTGATAAATTTATTGATTTTAATAAATAAAAAAATATCAAATTTTTTTCTCATTTAATTTTTTCAGAGAATTAAATCCTAGAGAAATAGGTAAACCTAGAGACGCTAATAATACCATAGTATAAGGAAACTAGTAGTTTTACTCCTTGTCAAATCCTTTGTTCTTTTTCTGCCACTTTATATGACCTTGTTCTCGCCTCCCGTGACAACTGACATAGCTGTATAGTCGTGGTCTATTAACTAGACAAAGTACTGTTTGACCAGCGGATCTGAAGCTACGGAAGGAATGCAAGAAAAAAAAATCGATATTGCCACGTTTATCTATAAAATTGCAAAATTGCCAGACATGAACTATAAATGTAATATATTTTTATTATATATAATGTGTTTAGCATATATTCTGACGTATATTACTAAGGAATTTTAAGTAGTTCATATTGTTGGATATGTTTTATTTAATAACTTATTTCTTTCATTCTGTATAATCTGCTTATTACGAAAGGTGAAGATATTTCAACGATATCATTGGCAAACCGGCATCGCCGCGCATGGCCGCCTATTCATCGAAGATGATTGGCGAGAGTACGTCACAGGATTTGTTACCACGCGGTTGCCATGACTTTTATGCCTTTCCTATTCGCTAGCCTTATCCCCAACTTCACGGTCACTTCTGAAAAGAGTAGAAATATTGAATACTATTGAAATATCCAGTGGCGGTGTCATTCTTTTGATCATTATTACTTTCTTTCATTATTTAATACCGGTTATCCTAAACTTTATTCCTATATTTTTCGTATATTTAATAGTTAAAATGTGTTTTATTGTTTTGTTATCTTGTTATAATGTTTTTCGTTCGTAGTTTTTAATTATTAATATTAAGTTTGATCGTATATTTGTGTTTTAAAATGAATCAATTTGTTAAGGGTAAGACGCTACATAGACAAGAGAAATAATAGCTAATTTATATAGGTAAGTAGAATAATAATAATGTAATTATTAGAATACTAAAATTAAATGTTGGCTAAAATGAAAAGCATCCATTTACCTAAATATTTTAGCTAAACTAAAATAAATGTAAATAAACGTGGATGAAATCTCATTTGGTTTATTTCCTTGTGTTCATAACAGGGTTTGCGACGAAGAAGCTACACAGAGTTCGCTTAAGTTGCCGCTTAAACGTAAACTTGAGCGGATATCTCTTTATACCGGAGTTAGCGTATCGGATATAAAAAAATTCACACAGAACATAAAAAAAGACTGGAAACTAACCCCGATAAAATGATATCCAGCCCTAGAAAGAAACGGCTACGTGAGCTCGACGACTTTGATTTCCAAGTGGTCAGGAATTTGATAAATAGATTTTATCTCGAATTCATAGTCATCCCCACAATTAGAAAGCTTTTGCAAAAATTGCAGGAAGAATCGAATTTTTCTTTGGCAGGGAAACGCTTAGGGGGTTATTAAAATCAAATAGATTTTTTGGCGTAAATGTTAAAATAACAAAATAACAGATAAATATTAATGGAGCGGCCCATTATATTGCAGAGAGAGATATAAATATACACGCGAAATTCGAAAATATCGCCAAGTATTATCTATTTGGATGAAACATGGGTAGACAATGACCTAACCTTTAAAAAGTGCTAGCGGAGCGATACCATATCTGGTGTAATAGGCAATATTGGATCTACTGGTGAGTAAAATTATGTTTTGTTTGCGCTTCCAAAGTTAACTACTTTCAAGATTTTTTTTTGCTGGAAATAGTTATATCTAAAATTATGTATTGTAGAAAAAAATATAGCTAGTACAGATATATAAATAAATATACCTCAAAACTCAGTCTTGATCATCTGCTGATGGCAGACATGGTTAGCGAAACGTGCGCCCAGTGTAAAAGTAAAAGTGTTTTGGTGTATTGTGCTGATTTAGTGTTTTATTTTGCTGTGTAACACCAAAGGTTCCAACCCCCAGCTGTAATTATTTCTTCTATTATATTAACAACACATAATAATAAAATTATTCAAAATATTTAAGGGAGCTTTAATAAAAGCTTTTAGTGTGTTTATCTGCTAAGTCAACAGTAACGATTCAAACAGGATAAAGTTTTTTGAAAAAAAATTATTAATCAGAATTTATATTTATGATACACATTATTTTCATAAAACACCGTACGCCCATGCCTATTTTATGAATGAAATTGGGCGTGTTTTGTTTACAACTGCGTTCCCCTGCCGATACCCCGTAGCTACAGATCCGTTGGTCACACTATATAGTCGTGGCACTCGCCATAGTTTCACAGATATGTATTTAGGAAAATATGAGTTCACAATAAAATAAAATTAAAAAATTGATCATCGAGTAAAAACTTGCTTGAAAACAGAATATTTTCACATTTCGCGTAGGTAAAAATTCTTCTGTATCTGAAAATCTTCTGATTGGAAGAAATGCGGAAAAATATATAATGACATATTTTTATATTATTATCTATTTCAGAGATTTTCTACAACTTTTTTTTGATTTAAAACAAGTTTAATTTTTTGTACATAACTGGATTCAAAAGAAGCACACTGCGGTGTGGCCATTCTATTTCTTATTTACTAAAACTTTGGTTAAAAACATTATATACGAAAGGTGGTAAAAAACTAGAGTGAATATAACTTTATTAATACTTAACTATGTTTTCTTAAACACGAAGGATACCAAAATAAATTCGTATAGAAAAATTTACTTTATCGTATACAGGATATTTTTTAAGGCGTCACCAAAATCGTAATATTTAAAATATTGTACCTCATTTTTTTTTAAATGCAACACCTTGTATATTATTTTTCTTTCAGATGTAGAATTAAAAGGTAAACATTTTTTGTATTTAAAGCGTTCTTAAATTTTAAGCCGTTTTGTCAAATCGGCCTTTTACGGCATAAATCTGTCAATTTGTGTTTTTAGCCTAAAAATTTCCTAACTATGTTACACGGACTAAGTATGGCCGCTTTCTGCAAGTTTATATATATTTTTGATGGGAGGTCTACTATTTTTATTGATTCTAGGATATTTCTTGGAATCACTCCTGTAACTGGAACTATGGAATTTTTTTCTTGTCTCCACTGTTCCTTTATTTCGTTATCCAGATCTATGTATTTCTCGAATTTATTTCGGTATGTTGCTTGCAAATTGTTATTATTTGGAATAGCTATATCTATAAGGAACGTACGTTTTTTTTAAATTTATCCGTCAGTATTATGTCCGGTTTGTTGTGTTCAATGTGTTTATCTGTTATTACAGTATTATCCCAACAGATTCTATGTATTTCGTTTTCTAGGACTGGTTCGGGTATGTAGTTGTAGTAAGATTAGTTAGTTTTATCTGCTTTTACGTTGTAGCTGTATCAGTATCTTGTGAATTATTTTACCTACATTATCGTGTCTCTGTTTATAATCTGTTTGTACTATCATGCTACACGAACCTATGATATATTATATACTTTCGGCAGTTTTTCCACATCTCCTACACTTATTTGTCAGAACTGTGCGATCCTTTATGATGTATTTTCTGTAGTTAAGTGTATTTACAACTTGATCTTGAATAGCGACCATAAAAGCTTCAGTCTCCGGAAGAGGAAGAAAACAGCTTTATTTATTTTTTATTTTTTTTCTCACTCTTGGTGGTATATTCTGACAGACGGGTGTTCATTACCAAGTACTGTCAGAGTTTCTATTGTTTTGTTTCTATTGTTTTAAGGAGCGGGTTATGTTTGTGGTTTTAATGATTACTGCTTTTTGAGCAAGTGTGTGAATATGACCTTTTAAATTTAAAATATCGAGGTTTTCTTTAAATTTCCTGTGTGTGAGGCCCGTGCTAGATATAATAAATGGTAGGATTTTAACTTCTTTTTGTTGTCATATTCGTTCTACTTCCTGTGTTAGTGGAATGTATTTGCTAATTTTTTCTTCATATTTCTTTGTTATGTTGTTGTCATTCGGAACACTGATTTCTATTAGATATGTTACTTTCTCTTTTTTTAGTGTTAACGTTATATCAGGTCTATTGCATGTTACTGTCTTGTCAGTATGGATCGTTCTGTCCCAGTAGAGTTTTATAGTGTCGTTTTCAAAGACAGATTGCGGCGTGTATTTGTAATAGGGCTGTTCTTCTTGTATAAATTTATATGTTTTTGCTATTTCTTGATGTATAATACGCGCAACAAAGTCATGCCTTAGAGTGTATTCTGTACCAGTGAGTATTTTACAACCATTTGTAATATGCTCTATTGTTTCACTTTGGAGGTGGCAACGCCTGCAGGTATCCGTTTGTTGGGCCCTATCTTTTATTATGTATTTCCTGTAGTTGCGCGTTGCTATTACTTGATCTTGTATCGCTATAATGAATCCCTCCGTTTCCGGTTGCAGTTGCCCTTTTTGTAGCCATGAATATGACAGTTCTTTATCGATGTCGGGGTTGTTCATAATATGACAGTGTTTTCCATGTAGTTGCTTTTGGGACCATTTGTTTTTCTTTTCCTCTAATGTGAGTATATTTGAAACAGGAATATTTTCTGCGTTAAGATTTAATGGTGTGTAGTTAGCATCCGCTATAGTTACTGCTTGGTGTAATGAGGTATTTTTTTCTTTAAAGTATTTTCTTAGTGAATTAATCTGTTTGTTGTGTATTTCGTGAATATCTGTCAGGCCCCTACCTCCTTCTTTTCTTTCAATGGTCAGCCTC